TAACAACTGTGCTTCGCTCCCAAGCAAACCACGCACAGACTGTGTGTATCCCTACCCGTGATGTAGCGTGGGCAGGGAGGAACACACAATCTATAACGTGTCTTGCTCTCGCCCTTAGCATGCTTTGTCTTAGCGTGAGCTTTAGACATAGCTGGAGCTTATAGTTTCACTTTTTTGACAGACAACAATTGCGTGGTCACAGAAGGCGTTCCCAAAGCGTTCTCCGAAGCAGGTCGAGTTCCTGAAGAGGAACAATATATTTTTACAATTTTTGGGGGAATAAAATGTTGTATACAATCAAGCAAATTATATATGAACAAATCCCTCTGTAAAAATCTTCAGAATATAGACAGGAATAAAAATGTAAAGTTTGGTGTGTGTAAGTGCTACTGAAGTGGAGATTTATGGTCCACTAGTCTTTATCAACACTTTATGAAAAGCCAAAAAAGCCCAAAATCTCAAAATTGACAGGTGCATGAAAAAATACTGTTTTTGCCTGCAGTGTCTCCCCTTAAGCGGTAGAGGTATGGTCAACAGTGTAATTATAGATGTAACTACAGAAATTAATTACAGATGTAATTACAGTATTTTCAAATATAAGTACAATGTAAAAACATATATGTACACAATAAGTGCATTGTATCAAATGATTAATTTAAATATAAGTACGTAGTAGTTAAGGCCACTTAATATAAAGTGGATCCCATTCATTTAATTACAATTAATCATATTTTAGTAGATGTTTCGGCAGTGTTTTATTTAGCTGGTGTTCTCACTAGGCTTTTTACTTTACCAACCCAGGTCAACCAGCATAAACACAAAGATCATGTTGGTTGATCGGCTCTACTAGCAGGACTAGAGCCAATTCAGCAATAACCAGCATACAGTAGCTACCCTGTACAAGAGCATGGATGTTCATGCTGGTCTTACCTGGTCTTTTCAGCAGGTGGACTGTCACAGTCATAGAAACAGGTTTAGTGGTTTGTAGCAGGTGAAACACAACAGATGGATGTGTTTTTGTGCTGGGTTGTGAGGATTTAATACACTGTGTCTACGAGCTGCACAGTAATAGACTCCGCTGTTGTCTTCTGTCAGATCTTTTATTGCAAGTGTGGCGCTACTTCTGCCATCTCCAGCCAAGTTGATTTTGTGTTTGAACTCATCTTCAGGATATGCATGATCAATATTGAGATAACCAAGAAAAATTAATCCCTTGTCATCAGATTGTTTATACCAAAGAATGAGATCAAAGCCCTGGATTGAATGTGAGCAAGTGAGAACAGCAGATTCTGTGAGGTTTCTTGTCAGGTCCTGGGGAGTCTGGTCAACTTTTTGACTTTGTACAAGACCTAATCAGAGCAGAAAGAAATGATAAATGGTACATGGTGTTTTTAGAACATTATTACTTTGCATTAAAGCATGCTTTGGAAAAAACTTACCTGGTAACATGACAAAGAATATGGCAAACATTAACATCATGGTAACATTCAGCACATAGTCAGCATTGATTAACACCTGCTAACAATGACACAAAATAAAAGTCAAGACAAGTGACAGGAAATGGTGTTTTTAGAACATTATTACTTTGCATTAAAGAACATGCTCTGGAAAAAACTTACCTGGTAACATGACAAAGAATATGGCAAACATTAACATCATGGTAACATTCAGCACATAGTCAGCATTGATTAACACCTGCTAACAATGACACAAAATAAAAGTCAAGACAAGTGACAGGAAGTGACGCCTTCCCACCCCAGGAAAGAAAAATTACAAATCAAAAATCAATTTAATATCAGTTGTTTATCAGACACAAGCTTTTCAGATTTTCAATATAAACATTTCTCATTACACTTTTACAAGAATAAATGATTTGAGCTGTGCTAATTGTATAGCTCATTACTATTACTGTATGCCATCAAACGTTTGTGAAGAAACATCTGATCCAAAG